TAGCGTTATATTCTAATCGATACAAAATGATTAATTGTTATATATCGATGATTATCTATTAAAAAACTTTCCTGATGAGGAACAAATTATGGAACATCAAGAGCACACTTTAATATAGAATACTTTAACAGTTTAAAAGTAGTAATCTTTACCAAATTAACAGAACTAGCAAAAGCATTATTTCAAGTAAATCCAACCATAAATTGCTATTATAGGGTAAGAGCAGGAAATACTATAAACCTAAAAGATACAACCAATTATCCAGCAGATATAATTGAAGACTACACCGTTGATAATTGGCATAACACAGCATTAGGATGAGGAGGACTAACATACCAATCACCACAAGTATCATTCAGAGAAGTATTTGATAATGAATATATAACTGATAATATCAGATTCAGTAACCAATAGAAATTCAAAAGAATGATATTTATACCTGATTACTCGAAAGAAAACTCATTCATGGCATTCAGAGATGCCTAGGAAAAAGCAAAAGAACTTGCAAATTATTGATTTAGCAATTTATTCCTAGAAGCAGAATACCAATTCTTATTGGAACTAATGCTACATGATTACCAAACTCACATCATGACTGTAGCAACACAACCAACAAATAGAGCTGAATTCTGGAATATGTGCAAAAACTAATATGAAGGACCAGGATCATCAGGAATGATAATTCTATTGGGAATGAAATTTGGTAACCCAGAAGTAACATTACTTGCAGAACAAGTACAACGAATAACAGTTGCAGCAAAACATAAAGTACCACAAAATAAACAAGAAAAAAAATTAAATCAATTATATTTGGAAGCAGCTCAAAGAGAAATAAATCAATTTAGAGAACAAGTAATAGGAAAAGATAATACTAAAAAAGACAAGAAAGACAAAGCTAAAAGCTTAAACATTACTTTTAATCAACAAAGGGAAAGCAAAGTCAAATCACCAAAAATGAAAACATTCATTAAAACACAATTGTCACAATTAGATCAAATCCTATAACAAGAAAAGAAACAAGAAGATCAAAGAATTAAAACTGGATTAAGACAGCTAAAACAACGATTAAACAGTATAGAAACAAATTATAAATATGTTTTCCAATTATCAAGACAACAAACTAATGAACATATTCAGAAAATTGAAAGGGTCACAAACAGAAAAATATTAGAAGCAGAAACAGCTGAAGACAAAAAAGCTTACCTATACAAAACAATATCTTCATTAACAGAAACAAAAGATGCTATTCTCTGGAAGAATAGAGATCTAATAAAAGATCTAGAAGAAGAATATGGGTATGCAACTAATCAAGCATTAAACTTAGACAGAAAAGATTTTGAAGCAATGCAAGAGTATGAACAATGAATCTTAATAGAAAGATTCACAAGACAAATGAACAATGTGAAAGTGAACCATTATGAGAACAATATCAAGCAAAATATAGAGAATTATTGGGAGCATTACTAGAAAACCTAGATAAAATGTATAACATACAAGAGAAGAAGAACAAATGTTCTAAGAACAACAAAAAGCCAGAAGACAAGGCCTAGAAGACAAGGCCTAGAGTTACCAGAAATATTACCACCAAAAAATCCATATTATGAAGAATATAAACCAACAATAAATGAACCATAAGAAACAGAACAAATAGCAGACAGATGGTTACTAGATGATAACTTTGGAAGAACATTAAAATGGTTAAATAAACAAGATAAAGATCAGTATATCAAAATACCAGAACAAACAATATCAAGAACAACAACAAGGCCAAGCTCACCAACATCACTAGCCTTTCTTGATAAAGCAAAAGGTATGGTGCAGAATACATTAAATATAGCACAACAGATGCTAAGTAGAAGAAACTCAATGCAATCTACACAATCATCTCATTCTAAACAACATCAACATAAATCGTCACCACTAATAAAAGAAGTATGAACAACTGATATAATATCAGAATCAAGTAGTCTTTACACACCAATAAGCGATGATGACCAACCAGTATTACCAAAATATGGCCACAAAAAACAAAGATCACAACTCTCAAATCAATCATTCTCAGTAAGAAATCCGTAATTAAAACAATTCAGAAGAGAAAATCAACAAAGACAGGAACTATTCAGGCAGACAAAACAAGAACAATTAATACAAGAAGATGCACAACAAATGGCTGAACTAGATGATTATATCCAAGAAGACACTAATGATTATAATGATTATAGTCGAAATACCTATAATCGACAAGGAGAACTATATAATCCAAATGACAAATACAAAGCAGGAGGATTATCCTTACAATATACACCAAAAGAAACAAAATAGACATGAATCATAGAATCAGAGTAGAATGGACATAAGGTCTTATATCCAGTACCAAAAAGACCATCAATATTAACAGATAATGACTGGAGAGATATATTTAAACATACAGAACCAGCACATACATAGACAGAAATGTCAAATATGAAAAATATCTAGAAGATCTAGCTGAATATGAAACTGAAATTGATGAAGAATCAGAACCAGAAGGGTACGAAGTACCTGAAAATATATTTGATATAACAGATATAAATTTTAATTTCTATAAAGAAATAAAAGAACAATATCCAACTCATATTAGACATATTATATTACAAACTATACGAGAAAAAAAAAATGCTAAATATCAAATATTAGCAAATGTAGAAACAGATATACCACCTATGGCTATAGAACAAATAAAA